CATCAGAGACTTTTGTTTGCAATCAAATTAAGGTGCTTTAATTCATGAATTACAAAGTAATTAAGGATGAATTAGAAAAATTATCATTGTGTTTTCAAGTGAAGAAATTTTCATTCAGCAGTAATATGAGAATAGTCGAAGTCCATTGAGGCTTGAAGGTGAAGGTGGGGGCTAATATTAGTAATTTGTATTTCTTTTCTTACAAGCTTTTATGTAATAATAATTTCCATTGCCTTTTTTATTTTTTTATAAGACCTTTTCTTAGACTTAGCTATTTTTTTCCCATTCCCAAGATTGAACAGCTGTCAGAACTAGAAAAGAGTTGCCCTACCTTTATAAATAAGTTCCTAAAACCTGGATCATGGAACTTATTATGCCCTTCTCCTAGCAGATCTCAAGGGGTCTTTAAACAGCAACAGAGAAGTAATGCTGAAAATGAAGATTTGAACCCAGAGCCATTTCTTTCAAGTGTCAAAGTTTTAATCATTCATAGTCAGTAATGCCAGCAAACCGAATGACAGAAAGATAACCCGAGAGGACAGAGATGCTTTGTGTTCTAACTGAGATAAACCTGTTTGTTTACTGAACCATGAGATGCTGTAGCAGGTATCTTAAGATTTTCTGGTACAGTTAGAAAACAATATTTTGTATGAGACTAAGGGTATGTAATTTCCTGAATCTTCTTCATTCATCTCAGGAGATAAATGTAACTATCTTTTTTGCTGAGATTCATATCACTGGTGATTAGCTGCTGAGTGGCATGGTTATACTGTTTTAAAGAGAAATATGGGGTTAGTAAATTGATGCTTGGAAATAGCATTAATTCAGGGACAAATAGTTTTTGGAGGTGTTCATGAGAATCTTAAGTAATACTGCTGGGCCCTATGGGGTTAGCTCCTTGAGTTAGGAAGAACAGAATTTAGAGGCATCTACTGAAATTATTCTTTCAAAGATCCCTGCACTTGCCTTTATGCCCCATGAGCCAAAATCAACACAGATTTGTTCTCTACTTTACAATGTGCTCTTTGGTGGTGGATGCAGGTGGCCTGGCTGCATTCAAAAGGATAAATAAATGCTCAGTGGAATGGGTATTCCATGTCCAGAAAGTTTCTTTATTGAGGTTTGCTTTGATGTAGGCATGAGTAACTGGTGTGTTGAAATAACTGAATTTTCTGTGTTTGTCTTAGGAGCAGTGTGTTTGTTGCCTGTTATGGCAGAGGTGCTGATGCCTGATCTGGAGGGCCTTTCATGGTGTTACTACCCTGGTGTGTTCAGTAGTGGCTTGTGCAGAGCCTCTCCTTGCACAGACCACACGCAGCTCCCTGCAGGCACCACTGAGACCAGGATGGCTTTAAATGATTGCTGCCATCATGCTGAATGACACTGGGAAGTGAGAAGTTGAAAAACCTCTTAGCTGCTGATTTGTGCCATAGTTATCCTTCAAGGCAGGTCATGACAAGTTGTTGAGAGATATTAACCTGGCTGCTGATGCCCAAGGAGGAGCACAGCTTCAGCATTAATCTTGTTTTGTGGCTTTTGTCAGTGTGGCATAAAGGTAGGTCTATTGTAATTGATCTCCAAGCCAGAAAGGAGGTGTTAATATGTAGCTAGCACCAGAATAGTAAAAATGAAGACCAGCGGAATAACAGAGAATTCTTTGTTCACCTAGGGAAAGATTTACAACTTCCTCAGCCAGCTGAGAACATAACATTATTATATTGACAAATTTTAGTAATTTTGCACTGATGCATAGAAAATCAACTGCAAATCACCAGATAGCCTGATAAATTCAGATCCACTAAATGACTTGGAATGGTTTTAGACACCCTGTGTCTAAAAATTGCAAGTTCTCAAGGCTCCTATTTAGCTCCCCTCTAACTCCAGCAGTGCCTGTGATTTTTCTGATATTCTTTACTGCATCTCACATACTCAGAAGTGCCTTATCCTTGATAAAACCAAGTCTCTATTTTATGTCCACACTCCATCATTATCCACAAATCAAATATCAATATGGCCTTTGGGTCTTGTTTGCAGGTGATTTTCTCAGGCATGTGTTCTTTGCTGCACAACAGCTGGCAACAAGAGTCATTTTTTTCAGGCCACAGCTTATGTGGATGGCAATGTCCCCAGACTGGCAATATCTGGTGTGCAGCCGGTGGCTTGGTGGTCACAGGATGTGTCTAAGCCCTGTATCTCCTCTGCCTAGAGCATTGGGACCACTCTGTGCAGCCAGGAGTGAGGCAAGTTGAGCTCAATGAGTCCCTCCATCTAAGACATCTGAGAGAAGATATTTAAGCACATCACTGGGTATTATCCGAAGCCAGACCTTTGATTGGTGGAGCCCAATGTAATTCCTTATATTTTAGCACACTGAAAAACAATTTAGGCCAGTGTGGGAAGGAGGTCTGGCCCATAATTTTTCACAGTAATGAAATCCCAGATGTCAGGTATCCCCTTTGCTTGTGTCGCCTTGGCTGAAAATGAGATGATGACTCATAGTGAGTTTGTAGGTGAGTGAGCTATAAGATAGCATGAGGAGAGTAAATGCCAGTAAATCAGAAAATATGGATGGCCAAATGTGGCTGTAAATGGGAGTTCTGCACTTGTTCTCACAGCACATTTGGTGGTAAGGCTTTAATTCTTTTTAAAACATTAGAGCAGGTATCCCCTATTTCATGTGAAATAGCAATCTGCAACTGTGCCTCTCTAGGATTTTATGTGGATGGACAAATATCCCCTAGCACAGGGTCAGGGCCATGATGGACAAACCCCCTTTCCAGGAAGTGCTTTCCCTTCTCCCTCCATCAGGATCATAGATTCACTCGGTGACACCTCTCTGACATTTACTCTCTGAGAGCCCACACTTCTGCCTCTGTGATGCATGATGTGGTAGTAGAGTCAAATTAATGCAGCCCTCAAGTCCAAACAGAGCCTGATGTCTTCTTTTGTAAAAGAAGGTTATAATTTTTGTTACCTACCCTCTAATTTTCAACCTATGAACATTTTTCCCCTTAATTCTATTGTATCAGCTATTGCACACATTGGCTGATTTGCATGCTCTGCCAAGCTGAACAGAGGAGACTCAAGTCTGCAGGTCACATTTATTAGCAGAAGCAATACTCCCAAGGTATATATTTGCTTAATTTTTCATCTTTAAATAGACAGAACTAGCCAAAAATTGAACGTAATTGTCTGAGAGGGAGAGAGGAGTCATTAAAGGCACTGATGAAGCAACAGTAATATCAGGATGACTTTTCATGTATTGATTTTTAACTGTTGGGGAGAAATAGTGATATTTTTGATAATGTTTTGTGAAGAAATGTACATTGTTTGTCAAACAAATCTCCATTTACCTTTCAGTGGTAATCCAATCCCTAGGTTTCCAGTGTCTGAGAATTAATTATTTCCAACAGTTTTTATTTTCTCCTCACAACATTAATTTCTAGTTATAGGAAGCAGGACTGAATCAGGTCTAGACCTGTAGAGATTCCAGCTTTGCCCTGTGAGTTCTGATCCTGGGTCTTGGCTTTCTCTGCCCCAGGTTCCTGATCTACCTCTGTGTCTGGAGCCAGCAGAGGGGTGACCTGAAACCAAAGGGGGATCACACCTGGGCATTATCAATGTGCTAGAAAAACAAAGAGCAAGTGAGATGGGAGAAGTTTGAGAAGCAATAAAGTAGAATTCTTTGCAATGTTTTCCTAAGAATTGAGGAACTCACATAATATGGAACTCTTACTGGCTGACGTTTTATTATGATCATGTTGTTCCTCAGCAACAACAGGGTGACCACTGATAAAAAGCAACTACACAATTAGGCTGATTACGCTATTGTATGAGAAGAGTTGACCTTGCCCTGGTGTTAAACATGTAACAAAATAATCAGTACAAAACCAGGAAAATCTACAACTGCAGTTTGTGAAGTTGTTCTTGGGAGGTAGGTTTAACTATTTAAATACTATGGGAAGTGTTCCTGCTCCCTACGTGCACATTTACTGAAGTTCTAAGCCTTGATGCTGACACCAGGAGACATCTGTGATCCCCTTCTCTGTCCCTGTATGGATCATCCTTGGTACAGCCACAAGCTGAGGGTGTCCCAGCTCCTGCTGCCTCAGGCACTGGCTGGGGAGCCTCCTGCGTATCAAATTGTTGCCTTCCAAGTACCTCCTTTTTGTCTAAAAGACAAACAACTCTCAACTGCTCTTACATGTAAAGGTATAGTGAAAAAAACCAAATCCTTTGTCAGAAGCATGAAGAGCAGGCAGATAGTCTCTGAAACGCTGAAGGAAAATTACCCTGATATTTTCATCAAAATACGAAGCCATCACTGAGTGAAAAATTCTATGTTACCTGTGACACATGAACTGAAAGATGTTTTTCCTTTAGGAGGAAGAAATGCTGTTCATTGTCTTGCAGTTTTCAAATGGTTCTTTTTTATAAATCAATAGTAAGATGCTGTGTGTGTTTTGTGACTGAGTTACAGATTTGTGTTCTGATAAAAGGAGAGCACTGTAGAAAAGCAATAAGTGTCAAGTTAGATCATACTGAGCTTGTACAATGGTTTTCTTGTATTTGATAGAAGCTAAAATAAAGCAATGAATAACAAAGTGTGCTCACATAAAATGCCACTGGTGTTCAGCTGACTGGGTTGCTCCTTTGGATTTTGATGAAATCCGGAGGCAGTAATACATGTGCATTTACCAGACTTGTTGTAGATAAAAGAGTCTGTCAGAGTCAGCAGGAAGAGGATTTTTGGATTGTAACAATGAAGATGGCCATGCTTCCCATGACTTTCCTATGGCCAGGCTTTTATTCTTGGGCTCTGTATAGCAACCAACCATGGCGAAATTCACCAGGAAACTTTAGTTCCTTTGCCTGTCAGGCAAACAAGGTGCTTAATCAAACCTACAACATTTAGAAGGAATCTGCACTAGTTAATGTTTGTGTTGCTGTATAAGATGAATTACCTTTTACTTGACCTTTTGTATAATATTTCTCCCCAGATCTGCCATTGGGAAGCTGGGAGTGGAGGCATTTGAGGCAGTGTACAGCTGCCTCAAGCAAGCGAGACAGCAGAATGCCAGTGAGGAGGAGCTCAGGAGCTGTCTGGAGAAACTGGTTTCCAGAGCAAGTGATTGCTTCGAAGTGGATCAGCTGCTGTACTTCGAGGAGCAGCTCCAGGCTTTAGAGCCACATCTCCAGCTGTAACAGTGTGTCTGCAGCAGCTGGGAATGGCACCAGGGGGAAGGGGCCTCCTTCAGGCCAGCAGGCAAGTACAGGAATATTGCCAGCTGGGGGGCAAATCACCAACAGGATGGGACTGCTAAGGAACACATCTCAAGCTGTTTTGTTTTCCAGCATCAGTCTCATTACATGGTTATGACTATGGGAAGATGCCAGCAGCTCACATCTCAGGCAGCAGACAAAGAACTTAATGTTACAACTTACTTTATAAGTTTTTTAACCAATCACACAAAGCAAAAGCATATTGACAGTAGTTCTATCCGACCACTATAAGCACATGTACCTTCAGTTAAAACAATGCTTGCTTATTTAGAATACAATACTTGCTTGTAAACCTTAAAACACAATGCACAGAGCTCTATTATTAAGCTTAGAACTTTATAACATCTGGCCAGATATACTTTTCTGTAGCTTAGGGAGTTATTCTAGACAAGCATTAATACACAGACCATTGTTCTATTTGTCCTTACTTTTCTACTTCTAATATAATTTTGCTGCTGACCAATCTTATGGCTACTGCTTAGCTGTAATTGCAGTTCTGCTGTCTTTGAGGCCTGCCTTTTGCAGCTTTTCCAAACCCCTCTGATTTTAAAGATTCCCACCAGGAGGTATTTGGAGGACATGGCTGAGGGTAATGTAGTACCTAAGCATGTAGGTAAGCTCCATTTGAGAGTCCAGAATGCAGTGAGATGTGGATAAATATGGCACTAATTTTAGGGGCAGGAAGAAGAACAAATGTTTGTGACAGTGGAGAGAGGATTCACGGTTACCTGTGTCCCCTTCTTCTAGCACTTAAAACAAAGGAAGGGTGTTCTGGGCTGTGGCTGGATGCCAGTCCTGCAATCAGAGCATCACTGGCAAAGCTGCCATTGATGGAATGATGCAGGATTAGACTCCAGCTGCTGTTGATTTTTGTGCTAACTCATACTTGTGATATTTATGCCTATAATTTTTGTAATTTGGCAGATTTACTCTTAAACATATATATATATAATGTATGGCCACTCAGCCCCTAATTGTCTTGTTATTATTGATTGTTCAAAAAGGCTGCATTTAATCTGAGCTTCAAAGGAACTGTGGACATACTTATGTATGTGCATATTTATATACATATATGCATGCTCTCATACACAGAGATAGGTGTGTATATTTATAATGGCAGGAGTATGTCTGGTCATGTACTTGTCTAAAGAGTTTTGGATTAAATTCATTCTACAAAAATGGAACAGTAAACTGATTTTTTTCTGCCTTGCACATTGGTACTGTTAATATTCTTTCTTAGTGTTTATGCTCCCTTCTTCATATGCATCCCACTCCTGCTGATTTCAACTGTCTATCAGGCTTCTGATTTTATACTTGATGTTTTCCTTCTACCTCTTCCTTCCTTATTCTGCATTCTGGGCTCCTTCCTCCATCTGTGTAAAAGACTAAAGGTTAACAAAGTCCTACGACTGGTAAAGGAATCTAAAATGAATTGTAGACCAAATGAATTTTAGGCATTGAGTCATTATGATAAGCCTTATGCTTCCTGCTTTTTCACCATAAGGTCTTTTATTTAGTACAGTCCCAAGTCTTAAAGGACTTTGGGACTGTACTAAATAAATTAGAAGATATTCATAATAAGAATATCAAAAAAACATTTCTATTTGACCTGAGTTATTTACAGTGAAGTATACCAGTATTGATGGTCAATTAAGCAGTGCTACTGATCCATCTTTATGACTTGTGTTAAGAACATTGCAAAAGGCAAGTAGAGTCATCTAAATCTATTTTAGCAGCAGCATAAGCTGAGGAAGCAAAAGGCACATCCAGCTACAGATGATGTGGCGCTGTACTTCCAGCTCCAAGTAATAAGAGATTCTGGTATGTTTCAGCTTTTTCTAACTTCAGTTTTTATTTAGAATACACAGTGTTACATGCCAGAGACTAAAGCCCACTATGATGTTCACTGAGGTAGGAAAACATAATTGTTTGTCAGGTTTCAGTCTCTTTCCTGTTACTTCTTACACTCCCTGTCCTTGTCAATATTGTGTAGGTGTGCCTGATTCCATATTTTCTGCACATAAATTAAGACCATTTAGAAACAGAAGTGCTGAAGTCCAGGATACAGGAGGAGTGCTTGGATGTTGCAAGGACTTTTAAGTCCCAAAGCAAACAATGAGTAACTGACATGGTGAGAATAATGTCAGAGGAAGATAATCTTCACTCCTTCTTTTGCCTCTGCTGCAATTCAAGGTGATTTATCACAAAAACTTCAAAAACAGCCTCTGTAACAGTCAATGCCTTTCTTATTAGTGACAAAGACTTCTTCAAGCTTTTTTCCATGCAGCTTACAAGAAAAAATACCTGGGTAAGAATGGGTCAGGCTCCTTAAGGCAGTCAAGAACTCAGATGATCATTAAAGGGAAACCTTTAAAATCTGAAAAACATGGTTTACTCACTCAGATTGACTTCAGGGAAATGGTTATTCTCTGATAAGCAGTATTTTCTTTCATTTGTTGCACAGGGAAAAGAACTCACAATGCCTTTTGCACTTACTTAGTTGCTTTCTGCTCCCTGCAGGGAATGACCTTCAGGGCACGTGAGGATCAGGAGGTTTACTGCTTGCATGCTTTAAACCATACTTGTTTCATTTTGTGGGTTTTTTACATGAATCATATCACAATTAGTGTACAATTGTGATACACAATGTAGTACACACATTAAACACAGCAGGAAATTTTTGCCTTTGAGCTGTAGTAAAAGCACATGGATTTGACAGAAATTTTTACATTACTGTTTGACTTGCAAAATCCCATTGCTGGTGGTCATTAGTAGAAATCTAAAAGGAAGGAGGAGGATTGTTGATATCATAGATCTTCAGTAATAGAAAAGCAACAGAACTGCTGGAAGTAAATATGAGGAAATAAATGTAAAGACATTAAGTTGCTAGGCATAAATCTTCATAAAAAGTCCCATTTAACCTACATATTTGTACCAAAAGCTTTGCAAGCATGAGGCAACCTTGCTGCCTTTTTTATTGATTCTCTTAAAAATGCTACAAGATGAATTGCTTGATGAAGAGTTATTGAAAACAAAGGAAGAGGGGTGAGTATTTTTTTAATGTTTTAAAGTCTTAAACCTGTATATAGGTGCTTGAACTATAAAGAGAAAAACAACATCTGAGTTTTATGATAAGAAGTATAACTGTCAGTTTCTTGTCGACAGCTGGATTAGGAGGCAGACCAATTCTATTTTTCACAGCAAACAAAAAGGAAACCCTTTCTTAGAGGTGATTGCTCTGCTGGATAATTTCTAGACAGAATCAGAATCCCCTCTCTGCAAGATGAAATTGAGGTTCCCAGTGCCTGAAAATCCTTCCTGCAGGAAAGAACCTTCCTCCCTCGTGGACCTGGCTTTGAGACTGTTGCCCTGTGATGACCAGGCTCTCCCAGCAAAATCACAAACCTGCACCTGGCACAGCAGGAGCTCACCCCTGGCTGCTGCTGGATCTCTAGCTCCACACATAACCAGAACAATGGAGCATCAAGCAGATACACAAGTGAAAAAAAGGGTAGGAGACAGCAAAATGGCCATATGGATAATGCAAAAGCTGGCCTTTCATCTGTGGTATAAGTCAGCTCAGGCTGACCTGTAGGTGCAACTACTGTTATCTGAGGGGATTTAGTGGGCAAAAGAAGAAAGGCTCAAACAGGAGATTTGTTTGGAAACAGGATCGATATGAACGGAGGCACATTTATCTTTGATATTTTGTTTGTAATATTTGTGCACAACACAACCTAACCTGAAAACTCCTTAGCTTGTCTCCACTGAATAATCTTGTTTTTCAGGAGGGAGAAGTCCAGCAGAAGGTTTCTGCATGTGATTATTGGTAGTAAGCAGAAGTCTGATGAAAATGCAGTCTCCAGATGCTGATTTGGTTGATGATTATTCCTGTTCAGGAATATGACTGCCTTGATAATGACTATCCAGATGTGCTGTACATATGCACATAAGAAGAGCTGATTAACAGAAAAGGCAGATGTATTTATGTACAGACTGGCCAGGCACAGAAGGTGGGCAAGGGATGAAATAGGATGGAAAAGGGTTGTACGTTCCTTCCTCTTACTCCTTCTCCTCATATATTTAGTTACCACACCCAGTCCTACTTATTTTTGTCACTTTTTTTATGGTTGGGGGTATAAAGGGATGGTGAATGGCCTTTTCTGAAGGCCACTGAATTATCTAAAATGAGACTAAGAATAAAAACCTAACAGGAAACCTTGATGTCAGTGGTCATAGGAAGAGAAGACCATGCGAATGCTTCTGGTTCCATAGAACTATGGGTCCAGTTTTCTTTTATCTGGGTTGGAATATGGCCCTCATGGCTGGGAAGTTAGTTAGTATTCACAGACAATTTTCCCTGTTAGCTCTGCAGACAGGTTTCAGTCCTCAGTTGCTCATGATTGGTTAACTACAGCGCCCTGACTTCCAGCATTCTCACGCTGTGCATTTGGTCACTTCCCCATCAGGTCAGAAAGCAGAAAAGAGGTCCTAGGAAAATTCCAGCAAAAAGAGGAGTTGAGGAAAACAGACATTTAGTCAGCTGGTTTAAAAGTACACCTCTTGGGTAAATATTTTCCATTCCACTTGATGACACCTGGCCAGGGATTTCCAATGTTTTGCAATGTGCCAGAAATACACACACTGTGATTATCATCCTGTAGATGAAATAGGCTTGGCTTTGTTGTAATTTTTATTATTACATGTGTAGCTGTAATCAAAGTACAAATGCAGTGGTGTGCAAACAATAAGAAAAAATACCTCTGAAGAAAAATGGCAAATAAAAGAGAAGATTATTATTATTGCTTTGTACTAGTTAACTGTCCTATGTACTGATATATGTTAACATTCAGAAGCTACAGTCTGTCTTAGGCAGCCTGAGAATGTTGTATTTATGTACCTGTACCTACACAGAGAAATGAGTTGTAACTCTCTCATTAACTGTGCATCCATCAGTCTTCTCCCTCTACATCTAGGCAGGCACACACAAACATATTTATATACATATGGGCCTGTATAGATCCTGATGCACAGCATGTCACCAACCTTCAAGAAAACATTTTCTGTCTTGATAAATGAAATATCTGCCAGCTGTTCCAAAAAATTCTTATAAGCAGGTAAATACACAGCTGAATGCACCTTGAGCAGAAAAAAACCTGAATGTTTTGATCAGGCACTGCACCAGGCACTGTACAGAACAGCTCCAAGGCAATCCCAACCTCCCAGGCCTCCCAGCTGGATTTCCAGCAGGAATATGAGGGGAAGGTGGTTCAGAGCAGTAACCTGAGCTCGTGCAGCAAAGTGCACCAGGAAGCCAGCCAAGGTGAGCACTCCTCCTGATGCTGGGCCAGGCAGTCAGTGGTGGCTTGTGGGTACCAGGGTAAGGCAAGGCACAAAGGAGGATGCAGTGTTGTGAAATGGATTTTAATACAGAAAACCAGTATTTAATGAAATATGACTCTGTGACTGTGCATGGAAATGGGTGTGTCTGTGATGGACTGTCAGTGAGGTGTTCTGTGGCAGAGCTTTATGCCCTAGAGGTGATTGAGTGCTGTGAAGAAGCTGGGAATCTGTGAATTGCTCTCCTCTCTCCATTGTCATCTGCTGATCCCTCAAAAACTGCCTTATTGTACCATGGCATGCAGATATTCCCTTGGGCTGTGTTATTTCCTCTCAGCATCTCTAAAACGAGTTCTATTTCAGATTTTTTCATATGGAAGTCTCTTTCTGGCTGAGGCTGCTCTATTGATCTGCATCTATAAAGGGTCAGTAGTGTCAGAGTGGTCTTAAATAATGCATTGGACTTTTGTCCCTCTGCTCTCAGTGAGTTCTGGGGAAATGCTCCATAGAACTGCCATGGAATCTTTCTAGCTTGAACTCTCAGTTGTCTTGTCTTGTCCTCTTTCCCCCCCAAATCCTCAAGGACAGAAAGTAAAGTGAACTCCAGGTGCTCAGAGTATATAGATAGATGCTGTTATTTAATGTCCAGAGGCAATCCTTTAAATCCAGAGAGGCTGCTTCTCTTGTTTTGTAAGACAGGTTTTGAGTGTGAGCATTATTTTATTGATGCCTTTAGGCACCTGACAATAAGTGGAATACTTTTGCCATCCTGTCTCTGCCAGTGAGTTGGTTTTT